AAGGTCCCCACGGTCGGTAAATGGCAAAGCTGAATTGGAACCGTGGTCGGTCTGATTCTTAAGCTTCTAGCACCGGGCCCTCCTGGACAGATTTTGCAGAGGAAGAAAGGGAAGCAGCGTCCGTGCTAAAGCAGGAGCTGAGCTGAAGTGTGAAAGGTGGGGCAGCAGAGGCAGGGTTGGAGACAGACATCCAAGGTCCTCAACAAAGCCAGACATGGCCCACTCACCTGGCCCAGGGCCCAGGTGAGCACTTGGGGGTGCTGGGTTGTGGCTCAGCCAACTGGGAAGATGCCCCAGGGGAAGGGGCAGCTGCCCAGGGTCCCTTGTCCTTAGGCCCTCGGCCCGCTGGCTCAGACTCCCCCCACCTCCCTGGCAGCTCCAAGGATGGCCAGACTCTCCAGCCCCTCATCCTTCCCAAGCAGACTGGTGCTTGGAATCCCTAATGGAATGACACTCCTAGATAGAGCAGTTTGGAACTTCAGAGGCCCCCTCACAGTGGCAGAACACAAGAGACAGACCTGAAGAGCTATCACTGAGCAAGCTTCTGTCCCTTGCAGCCTCCAGCAGTGCCTGGATCACCTCGAGGGGATCGCGTCCGCTCCACTCCCCTCAGGCCGCTGAGCTGGGGCTACACTGACCGCTTCCCACCCTTCTGGGAGACGTGGAATTCCTCCAGGGGACCTCACACCAAGACTGTCCCTCGCTTCCCACTGCATTCCTCAGAGATGCCCAGTGAGTACCAGGAGACCTCAGGTCCTCCAGATATACCCCAGGTGGTGGCGATTCTGTGAGAGGGAGGGCGGATGATGGTGCACATTAACTAAATGACATTTCAAGATGTTCGCAGGCAGCGCTCATGACCAGGTGGGAACCCCTGCGACCCCCGGGGAGCCCTCCCCTGCAGCCCTGCCTTCCCAGCAGTCAGAGGAAAACTAGTGAATAATACAAACAATATCAATCTCCCAGGGAGGTAGCAATGGGAAGGAGATCTGCTTGGTTTCCTGAAATTTCAGCAAAACAGCTCCTGTCTCCTGACGCCCGCGGCGCGCCCGTACTTTCCGCGCACCCCTTCCCTTCTCTCCTGGCAGCGCACAGGGCGAAGCAGCGGGCCACCCGCGTTCCAGGTGAGGACACCGAGGCTGCGGGAGCCCGAGTCCGCTCCCCCTACCCCACACCCCGCCCTGGCCCCGGCTGCGCAGCTCTGACCC